AAAAAAAATTACCAGATTACCTGATTACAGTGTCGTCAGGCTCATCATCCTCTTCCTCAGAATCCTGATGGGATTCTGTAAATGAAGAATAGTACATATCAATCTGTGGGACTACTTTGAGAATAGTAGAAAACACCTTCAGCGAGTAGTTCACGTCGGTTATTTTCGAAAATCTGTTCCAAATCAGTCAGTGCTAACTCAATAGAATCTAGATCTACAAAAGAAAAGATTATCGGAGGAAGCCTTTTCTGAAAACGCAAACAAAGACAACACGTTCAAATTCATGAGTAAACGAATAAAAGCGGGAATCATTTCACCTGCATGCATATGAGTGAGAAGTTCATCAGGAGTTAAATGGTTATCATCGTCATCGTCATCACTATCTGATGAATTTGAATCTGAACTTTCCGATTCACTGCTGCTGTCTGAATCAGCTGCAGCACCATCATCATCATCATCCTAAATGATAATAATTAAAAAGGAAAAACCGGCGTTAATCAAATCAAACAAAGCAGAAACCTCCGAATCATCCATTTCTTCTACGCTATCATCAGATTGCTCTTCAACTTGATTATTGTCACTCTCGCTTTCTTCATCCTCGTCAGAGTCATCATCATCATCTACATTGTCTCCTTCAGATACAAGCGTCAGTTCACCATCATACATCTCCTGCAAAAATTGGGAAATTTACAAAGTTTGTTTGTCACCATTTCACATTATTACCCGCTCATCCCTTGATAGTAGAGGTTGAGGAGGAGATTGAGATGCTCCAAGTTGAGGTGGCGAACTTCTATCGCTAAGGATCTCAATGTCACTATCTGAATCAGCAGCTGAAATTATGTATTGAATATCTTCCGAAGTGAAGAAAACTTCTTGTTTTTCGACTAACCTTGTTCATTTTCTTGCGACAGGATAGAATGCGGTGACCCGAGAATTGCCTCTAAAGAGGAAAAAAAATCACGAACTTTTGAAACTTTCTGAGAAACCAAGGCCTATTATTAGCAATTTCAAATTTTCACTGATTTACGTATATTGCGAAGATGAAATGAATCAAAGGAATGAAAACATGTATGGAACGCAAAATCTATTGCGCTCATCAGTGTTTGTCATTTTGACCTTCCACTTCGTAAATCTTGAGCAGACCTGCGGGTATCAAAAACTCACGAAACTTCCAGACAAACACCCCAGGACTACTTCGTTGTTAACAACGGGGAGAAAAGGTCACATTTCAAAGACATCCAAAACATGACATATTCCGGAAAGTACTGATGTATTGCTTCTGTAGAACATGTTTTTTTT